TATGTTAGGTTATAACTTTTCTTCTTCCTTTTATATAAGCATTTAAATTAATAAAATAAAATCGTACAATTCAAACATATTTAAATATTTTGTATGGCTATCACCTTTCCACTTTCCTTCGATCTTTTTTCTCGTCTCTTCAACAAAATTAAGAGTCTAATTAAGAATTAACCCACATAAAGACAAAGCACATTACATTCTTCTGGCGTTTTTCTTGTTCCGTCTTTGATTGCAACATCATCTCTATCACCAATCACCATCGGAGGGTCTGGACTGCAATGAGACTATACACAGAAGCACATTTTCTATCCCATGGCTAGCAATTATTACTGAAAATAAAAAGATAAGAACTTTTGTTTTTTTGTCTGGGTTTTCATTTGGGCTTTGGGCAGCAATAGTGTTTACCAGAGAACGGGAGAGAAAAAGGGGAGAGAAAAAGGGGAAGATGGCTGGTGAAGAAGAATGGGAAACATTGGAGTACACACCAACATGGGTAGTGGCTGGAGTGTGCACCGTGATTGTGGCTATTTCTCTGGCTGCAGAGCGTCTGCTTCATTATCTTGGGACGGTTTTGAAGAAGAAGCACCAGAAACCACTGTTTGAGGCCTTGCAAAAAGTTAAAGAAGGTACACATCGTTTGTCCTTTGTCTGTCCCCATGTTCCTTTTCGTTTGAATTTGTGTTTATACATTTTTTTCAAAATTTTATCTGAATCATTAAAAAGGCAGTTTCTTTCTTACCAGTCTGCACTTTCTCAAAGTCTTCTCCATCTGTATTTTGTTTTGGAAAGTTAAAGAACACATATTGTAATTTGTAGGAGTATATGCATAATCGTTGGAGATCTCTCTAACTTGATCAGTTATATAATTTCCCACTTAGTAATAATGTTATATATGTATGTGGGTGTGAAAATTGCAGACATTTGTACAGTTTTCTTGAAAAAAATCTTTTAAGTAGTATGCCTATGCATGATTGGGATTTTGGTGCTATTTTTCAAAATATGAAAAGTGATAGTGGAAATTCTGTTGGCAGAGTTGATGCTGTTGGGGTTTATATCCCTTTTACTAACAGTGTTTCAGAGTGCAATCTCTAAAATGTGCGTTCCAAAGGATGCAGTAAAGAGTATGCTTCCTTGTAGAGTTTCTGACAAAGGAGAAGCAGTAGAAGGCTCCAATATTTCAACAACATCACATTTTCAGAGTTCTCTTGCTTCTAACTTCGCTGGTGGAACCAGGCGTCTACTGGCTGCTGATACAACTTCAGATATTGGATACTGTGCTAAGAAGGTGACATGATTATCCATCATTCTTACAACTGTTGTTACTATTATTTATTGTACATGATTATCCATCATTCTTTTTCGTTATTATTTATTGCTTTATACATGTTGGTGGTGAAAACAATAAGAAAAGTAATATACTTTTCATGTTTTTATGATTAGAGAAAGGACTGTAATAGTTAAGTAATGTTCAGTCCATACCTTACAGTAGTCAACTTTAACGAAATGGATCTAATGCAATCTTATTAAAAAATAATTATATATCATACATAAAGTTTAATTATCTTTTAATGTTGATGATTAGTTAATAATTTTTGAATTTTTGAAAGTGCCATTTTGTTGGAGGAAGTATATTAGTTAAGTGTTCTATTACCACTTGCATGTCAGTAAAATCATAGATCTAGGATAGATTAGTATAAAGAGCATGAAAACTTCTGATCAAAGATTGTCTGCATTTAAACTGAAGGCACTTTGTAGTGTTAAAAGTGGTATTATACCAAATTAGTTAAGATTGTGGGTTTCATATGTTCTTATATTCTTGTTGGGCCTTTCTACCTTTTTCCATTTGGTTTTAGAATGGTTGCTTAACATGTAGAATATAAATACAAAGAGCTCTGAGAAGAACATTTTGATGGTATCGAAGGATTGCCTACATTTAAGACTCTGTGATTGTTGCTGGGCTGCAGCATTCTGATGGCCATTTTGCTGCAATGAAACCTTAAGCTGGTTACCTGGCATCAGTTTTATGGAAGACTTCATAGCTATAATCTTTGTTCAAATGCCAGTCCTTGAAAGAAAAGGAAAAATGCAACCTAAATTCTTTGATTGGTAGTTGGGTTCTCCTTGTCACATGGTTTACAAGATTTGTTTGATTGAGGATTGTGGGGTTTATGGGATGATATGTTGCTATGTTCAGTATACATTTTGCTACAAAACTGGCCTTCTGCACCAGCACCAATTGGCCTCATGCTCTTTTTGTGTCTATTTAGTGCTGACATTTTGGTAGGAATGATTCTTCAGGCTTTGTCAATCCAATGCAAATTGTGGTCTAATATAAAATTTTACTTGGTACTGTTTTAAAATGCTCTTATTCTTTTCCTGTAATTTGTCAGTAAATGCTCATGTTATCTTATTTTCTCTTTCAGAATAAGGTGCCATTATTATCAGTTGAAGCATTACATCATCTGCATATCTTTATCTTTGTCCTGGCCATTGTCCATGTAACTTTCTGTGTCATTACAGTTCTTTTTGGAGGAGCAAGGGTGAGTAATCTAATAGATATAGTTTACTTAATTCTTTTATTTTTTGTTACAATTTGCAGACTTTTTTCTCATTCTTTTTCAATCATTTTTTTGTAATGCTGCAGATACGTCAGTGGAAACTTTGGGAGGATTCAATTGGGAAAGAGGAGTTTCATACAGAAAAGGGCAAAGGTCTATTAGCAATCAAAATATTCACTAACCTGGATATCTTTTCTTTAGTGGTGCACAGTAATGTGCATGCGTTTAAAGTTTGTTTTATTTATTATTTAATTATTTACTGCCAATAGAAGTAATGCCACAGCTATGGACTTTCTGCCAATTCGTACCTATGCGATGGTTGCAGTTACCTTGATAAATTTGTCGTAGTGGATAGAATGTTGCTATTTCAAGTATCAAACATTTTTCCAAGTCAACTTAAGAAAGCTTTTGAGAACAGATGAGAGGTTTCTTACTGCCTTTTTCTTCTTCTTATTTGTATGCTGTGTAATGCAGTTCCAAAGAAAACCGTCACCCATGTCAGTCAACACGCTTTTATCAGGGAGCATTTTGGGGCGATCGGTAAAGACTCTGCTATACTAGGGTGGTTGGTAAGCTGCTGCATAATCAGTGATACAAATGTTATGCTCTCTCTCTATATATATATAAATTAAATTTGCTGAACAGAAAAATCACTACTGATGTGCTTCCTTTCTCCCTCGACCAATTTATATTATGTTCAATGCAGCTTGCCAATGGTTGGCATGAGAAACCTGCATAAACTTATCAAATACTAATTGGAACCCAGCATGCCTTTTTTGGTTTATCTTAGGACAGCTCCAACAGATGCATGTTTATGTTGTGTCATGTGTGTATGATTTCTTAACTTAAACTTATTCTCAAAGTACATCAGCTAGTTTGTTTTTTTCTTAATAACTTATCATCCCTCCTTTGGTATTTCTTTCCACAGCATGCTTTTGTCAAGCAATTTTATGCATCTGTGACCAAAGCAGATTACGTGACACTCAGGCTAGGTTTTATTATGGTATCCTCTGAAGCTGCTGTCTTATAGAACCTCTGTATGATTGTTACGTCCTTACCTCATGAAATGACAATATCTGATTGTTGATTGTTTGTACTCCAGACCCATTGCAGGGCGAATCCCAAGTTTAATTTTCACAAGTACATGATACGTGCCTTAGAGGATGATTTTAAGCAAGTTGTTGGTATAAGGCATGTCTGAAGACACATTTATGATGCTTAAGCTTCCTACAGTGTTTTACTATCACTTATGTACATGGCTCTAGACTTTAATATTGTTCTTGCTAATTTTCCTTTATATTGTTTAATTTGTTTGGTTGCAGCTGGTATCTTTGGATCTTTGTTGTCATCTTCTTGCTGCTGAATGTTAATGGTATGCAAATCCACTGATTAACTAGTGACCCTCTCCATCTTATTGTCTTCTGTCGTTTGCAATCATTTTGTCAATGATGTGCATAAAATCAAGCTGTAGATTTTGTTTATTTCTAATCCTGTTTTTTAACTTAAATTCAAAAAAGGAGTGAAATCAACTCTGTAAATTTGAGTATTTAGAGGTTTGCCAGACGTTCTCTAGCTTTGAAGCAGTTTTCTGGTTGTAGAGGATGTTCAGTTGTATGTCATAAGCACTATGGATTTGCCCTTCTAAGAACCAATATTTTCTCATTTTTAATTAGACAGGTTTTCCAAATGGCAGGTGACAAACAAAAGTATCCAGTCAATAGTTTGTGTGGAGCATCTCATTTTATGATTTTAATATAGTAATGACCCAATGTAAGGTTAAAAAATTCTTTCTTCACTTGCGCTCTATTCACAGGAGTGACAGGACCACATTGTTGGCTCCTACCAACACAGGGTTGGTTTTGATCATAAACCATTACATTATACTTTTGGTTTTCCTTTTATTTTCCCTGTGCCTCCTATCATTGGGTTTCTGTTAGTGCACTGTTAATCACTCAACAATTCAACTGATACAAATTCTTCGTGTTGCTTATTATTTTGAGATTCATGCATTAGTCTGGACTGCTCCATTTTTGTGGACATTTTTGCCTTTCTTGACCAGTTGAGATTTTCTGAGGCCATTTCTGCCCTTTTCCCATTTGCTCTAAGAGGTGGTGGGCCTTCTTAGGTCATGCTAAAGTCTTTTCAAACATTATGGATAAATAATATGAGCTTAGGTTCTTTTCTTTTACTATTTAAGATTTTCATATGCTTCTGTGATGTGCTATAGCTGTCTTTGCTAAGCTTACTTCTTGATATAGACAGTAAACTGATCATGTTCTCACAATTTTCTTTTGCAGGTTGGCATACATATTTCTGGATATCATTCATTCCTTTCATTGTAAGTAGTCTTGATATGTTCCAACCAACACACTCCCCCCGAAAAACATATCATATAATTTTGTAACTCAACAATAATTCTGCATCTCATGTTTTCTATTTTTAAATATTATTATCATGTCTTGAGCCTCTGCAATTATTATTTACTGCATCACTAATTCATTCAACTTATGAATCGTATGGAATTGTAAGTCGGGAGTACAGGGTATTTTCATGCAAAATATGCAAAAGGTATTTAGTTATAACTGGTCATTAATTGGATCTCCCTCTCAAAGCAACCACTTTGTTTGCCAATCCTACATGTTATTACTTCTATCCTGCAGCACCTCCTCTTATGAACTTCTACTTTATGTCTTTGTCTGTCTTATCTTGAACTCTTTACCATATTTGGCTTCATTTCATGTTGTTACTAACCATATAAGATGGCATGTTTTCTGGACCTACGTTCTTGTCAACAGTATACCTGGCCTCATATTGGTAGAAAGAATTATTTCTTCACTTTCAGAGCTGGTTGAATGCTTGAGAATAAGACTAATTCAAGAAAAGAGAAGGAGGGTTCTTATAGGCTATTATCCTCTAGTACTGGCCTGCATTGTCATGTCAAAGTGTATCTGTGCTTGATTCTTTTCCTTAAGGAATCTTTTAATCTTAAACTTGTTCGTTAAGAATGCATATCTTATGCATCCTAAGATGATCAGAGACGCTTTTTGTGAGTGTAAAAGCACAAGCATAACTGAATCTTCATATGTTTTTTTAGTTTATTTTCATTATTGTATCCGTTCTGCTATGTCATGTTTGATTTAGATTTTGCTTTTCAGCTTCTACTTGCTGTTGGTACCAAGCTTGAGCATGTGATTACTCAGTTGGCTCTTGAAGTTGCTGAGAAACATGTTGCCATTGAAGGGGAATTAGTGGTCCGACCATCAGATGAGCATTTTTGGTTCAATAAGCCCCGTATGGTCCTCTTTTTGATTCACTTTATCCTCTTCCAAAATGCTTTTGAGATTGCAATTTTCTTCTGGTTGTTGGTAAGCTGATATTCTACAACACGGTTTTGCTCTATGAACTATGCGTTAAATAAAATGATAAATGATATGTGCCTTTTTTGTTCTCCAGGTTCAATATGGCTTTGACTCCTGCATTATGGAACAAGTTGGGTATATCATTCCGAGGCTTGTTATAGGGTATAAGGCACTGACCCTTCTTGCTCTTTGAAGATTTTCACTTGAAAATGTTATTGGTTTTCTTAGACCTATGTTGCCATGCTAACCTCATTCATTTTCGATTTCAAACAGGGCTTTCATTCAGATACTCTGTAGTTACAGCACCCTGCCACTTTATGCCATTGTTACACAGGTTGGTTCCTTTGCTTTCATAATCTTGGACTTGGTTAGTTTCTCATCCCTCCAAATTTATGTGTCTTTTGTATTGAAATGCAGATGGGAAGCTCATTCAAGAGGGCAATATTTGATGAGCATGTGCAAGTAGGCCTTGTTGGTTGGGCTCAAAAGGTGAAGAAAAAGAAAGCAATGAAGGCTGCTAGTGGCGACTCTGGTCAGTCGAGCTTCCAAGATGGTTCTTCCATTGCAATTCAGCTGGGAGGAGTTCTGCGCAGTTCATCAGCACCAGAGGAGATTCATCCTCCAAAAGGTTCTGAGGATGCCAAATGATTAGTACCATCCTTAACAAGATTAGCAGGAACTAGCTGCTTCTCCCTTTAAACATCCCTGACTTTTGTAGAAATTCATTGGGTGATAGCAGGAGATACTTCTGGACAATAGTATGTATTTGGTTGTCACCATCTTCCGGATTTGCCAGGAAGTGAAAATGATTTTCTGATAGCAAACAATTAAGGGGTATGGTAATTAAACAGAGCCCAGGAACAAAGATAATCATTCCAGTCCCATTAAGATAGAGACGCTTCTTAAAACCTTCTTGGAGGAACCCTGAAGTTAATCGAAGCACTGAATCATGATACAAAGACAATACCTTTTCAGATAACTAAAATCAAAGTATGGAATGAAGACATCCAGCTCAAGGCTGAAATATATATTAGTTTCAAGCTTCAGCTGGCATGTATTAGAAAAAAAATATTGTTAGGTGTTAATACCAGAGGGTGGTGGACGGTATTTTGGTGCAGGAAACAGAGGGACGATTGGCAGACACCGGATAAACAAAGAAACGTGAGAGCTGAAGCAATTGGAAGTTGAACCAAACATGCTTTTAGTCCCCAACTTGACACTTTGACGCTTAACATTAGCACAGGATTCATGGAGGAAATGAAGTGAGTGTATGAGTGGAGAAGACTAGATGTGTGTGTGCTGTGTATTAATGAGAGATTGACTAGAGGGAGGGGACATCCAAATTGTTACCTTTATATGGTCCCCTTAGGTTGCCTCTAGGTTCTTGATCCTCCAATGAGAGCATGTCACGTGTTTATTTCAGAGTATTTCCCGAGCAAGACAGTTAACCTAGTATATATTCTTAGGCCTGAGTTAAGTTTTCTTGAGCTCAACCCATTCATCTTACGTAAATCATATTTGGGGTATAACATTAGGAATAGAGAATAAAATAAAAAATATATAAAAAAATGTGACCTTAATTATTCGCACTTAATGTAATATATATATATATATATTTCACTAATTGAAGTATACTATGTTTTTATCTACCTCCTTATTTCTCTAGTTAAAGTGTCCCATTGGTGTTATTAGAATAAAAAGAAGATAATACCCAAATCCATCATGTATAAGTGGAGTGGTTATGCCTATTAATAATAGTGTTATGGCTATTAAAATTGTAAAATATTATCTTTAAAAATATTAATTTTATTTAATTTAATTGATAAAAATAATTAATAATTATAATTATTAATTAATAATTAATAGAACATGTGATATTTATTAATTAATAAATTAAAATTAGTTAACAAACTAATATTTTTAGATATTATTTGAAAAACAAACTCAAAATTTGGGTGGACTTAACAATCTTCATGTTCGCAATTATCACAACATATAAACAGAGGAAACAAAAAAAGAAAAGAAACAAAAACATCGTGAATGAAGAACAAGCCTTAAATGCTTTTAGATGTGAAAGTGAAAGTAAATTGATAAATAAAATTAAAATGTAAAATAAATATTTCAATATAAATATTCATCAACAAAAGCTCCACACTTAAATCTCATATTAATCAAACGGTTATATGTTTGATTGTAAGATACATTTTGAATTAAAATTCAAGTTTCACGTTTTCAAATTGTAAACTGTTCAAAAGGAAAAACCCAAAAATTACAAAAATTCTTCCCTCTCCAGCAGCCCTGTTGCCATAGGATCACATTAATTAACAGAAGTTCAAAAGTTGCCAAAAATCACAAAAATACCACCATCCCGCAAAGTCCCATTAATTGTGGCAAATGTGAGAAGAAGCTGTTTTTGCCATTTACTTCTTTAAATTTTACAATATTGCCATCTAATCCAACACATTTAAGAGAGATATAGGAACATA